GCCCGGCCGCCTTTTTTTTTTTTTTTTTTGAGAGGAAGTTTCGCTCTTGTTACCCAGGCTGGAATGCAATGGCATGATCTCGGCTCACCACAACCTCTGCCTCCTGGGTTCAAGCAATTCTTCTGCCTCAGCCTCCTGAGTAGCTGGGACTACAGATGCGTGCCACCATGCCCAGCTAATTTTTGTATTTTTAGTAGAGACGGGGTTTCACCTTGTTGACCAGGATGGTCTCAATCTCTTGATCTCGTGATCCACCCGCCTCGGCCTCCCAAAGTGCTGGGATTATAGGCATGAGCCACCACGCCCAGCCGAATTTTAGGGTTTATCTCGTCAAGTTCCTTGAAAACCTTATGTCATTATTTTTATTAAACTTATCTTAAACTTAGATACTAATTTAGGGAAAACTTTCATTTTATGTGATCAAAACTTCTTGCCCATGGACATGGTTTATCTTTCTATTAGATTTTCTTTTACAATAAAGTTTTATGATTTTCTCAACACAGGTCTTAAATGGGATTTTAAAAATTAGACTTTAAAATTGATTTTTCCTGATTTTGATAATATTGATTTTTATGTTGATCTTTTATCATGCAACCTTGTCCACCCACTTCTTTGTGTATATCTTCATTGACTACATTTATGTAATTCAAAAGTCAAAAGGATATAATAAAGCATATATTGAGTTTTGCTTCCACCCATCTCCCTAAACACCCTGTTCCCCAACCCCTGCCCTGACTAGTAACCATTATTGTTAGTTTTTTATCTACCATTTCAGTACTGAGCTCTTTTATTACATCTTTCAGTTTGCTTGTAGATTCTCTTGGGTTCCTACTGAATCTTTTTACCTTCAATTTATTTTATGTGTATATGTATGTGTGTTATTGCCTTAATGGAACCTCCAGTATAGTTTCAAGTAGAAGTAATAGTTCCTTATCTTGTTCCTGACTTCAAAAGGAATGCTTCTAACTCTTCACCATTTCATATAATAGTATAGATTTTGGGAGACGTAGTTTGAGATTTTTAAAAAGCTAGTTTTGGTGTTTCAGGGGTACAGTAAAAAAAAAAAGAAAAAAGCTAGTTTGCTTTTTTAAAAGTCATAAATGGGTATAAATTGTAGCCAGTTATTTAGTTTTTTTAAATGATTAATGGAATAAGAATAGCCAATGATTTTGCTTATACCCATCTCCAGTAGGAGATAGAAAAAAAAAAAAAAGACTAGCCAATGATTTTAATTTAGTCTCCATTTAGCTGCTAATAATATTTATGTATTCCCTTTTTAAAGAAAATTCTTAGTCATGCAAACGGTTTGTCTGTTCACTGTTCTGCAAAAATCAGCTCATAATTTTGTTAATCTTATTATGTCCTGGTTAAAATTTTCAATTATTTCTATTCCTTATCATTTTCTCAATTATAATTTCTTTGCGTTTCCTTGCTTTCCCTTTACTACTTTATAAAAATAATTAATTCGGCCAGGCGCGGTGGCTCACGCCTGTAATCCCAGCACTTTGGGAGGCCGAGGCGGGTGGATCACGAGGTCAAGAGATCGAGACCATCCTGGTCAACATGGTGAAACCCCGTCTCTACTAAAAATACAAAAAATTAGCTGGGCATGGTGGCGCGTGCCTGTAATCCCAGCTACTCAGGAGGCTGAGGCAGGAGAATTGCCTGAACCCAGGAGGCGGAGGTTGCGGTGAGCCGAGATCGCGCCATTGCACTCCAGCCTGGGTAACAAGAGCGAAACTCCGTCTCAAAAAAAAAAAATAATAATAATAATAATTAATTCATTGATTTTCAATCTTTGTTTCCGATATATGTATTTAAGGCTATAAATTATCCTCTATTGCTTTAATTTTATCCTATAATTCTAATATATATTGGCTTTGTTTTTATTCAGTCTCATCTCAGTTATTTACTAAGTATAACAAACCAACCCAAAACTTAATGGCTTAAAACACAATATGTTATTTCTCAAACTTCTACAGGTAATTTGGGCTGTGCTGCTGGTTTTCCCTGAGATCACTCATGCAGCTGAGGTCATATGATAATTTGGCTAGGACTGAAGGGTCCAAGAAAAGCTTACTCAAATAGCAGTTAATGTTGGCTGTTGGCTGGCGTGGTTCAGTTCCCTTCCATGTGGACTCTTACAGCCTTCTAAAGCTAAACTGGGCTTCTTCACAGCACAGTAGTCCCAGAGTTCCAACGAAGAAAGAGTGGTAGCTGAAGGGCTTCTAAAAGCCTAACCTCTGAAAATTCACATGTCACTTCTACCATATTCTACTGGTCAGGGAAAGTCACAAGTTTAGCTTAGATTCAAGGGGATGGAGAAATGAGAAAGAAACTCCATCTCTTGATGGGAGTGAGTGGCAACATAACATTGCAAAGGATGTGGACATGACAGCATAATTAAATGGGGACCATTATTATAAAAATCTACTATAAAAGGAAGGGGTGGTGGCTCATACCTATAATCCCAGCACTTTGGGAGGCTGAGGCTGGCAGATCGCTTGAGGTCAGGAGTTCGAGACCAGACTAACCAACATGGTGAAACCCTGTCTTTACTAAAAATACAAAAATTAGCTAAGTGTGGTGGCAGGCGCCTGTAATCCCAGCTACTTGGGAGGCTGAGGCAGAAGAATCACTTCAGCTCAGGAGGCAGAGATTGCAGTGAGCTGAGATAGCACCACTGCACTCCAGCCTAGGCGACAGAGCAAGACTCTGTCTCAAAAAAAAAAAAAAAAATCTACTACAAGGCCTAATTAGTTTTCTACTGCTGTGTATAACACCCATTTATCATATCGCATTTTCCATAGATCAGACGCCTGACATTGTTCAACTGGTTCTTTGCCTTGGGTCTCACAAATCCAAAAGTAATGTGTCATCTGTGCTGGGTTCTTATCTTCAAGCTCTGGAGAAGAATCTCCTTCCAAACTTATTCAGGTTAGTTCATAGAATTCCTATTTCCTTGCTGGCTCTCAGCAGGGGCTGCTGTTAGCTTTCAGATGCCACCCACATTCCTTGACATGTGGTCCTTTTCCATATTCAAGCCAGGGTTGTTATACTGAATGATTCTTGTGTTTCAAATCTGACTTCCTTTCTGCCCCCCACCACGAGAGAAAATTCTCTGCTTTTAGAAGACTCACCCGACTGGGTCTGGTCCACCCAGATAATCTCTGTATTTTATGGTAAACTGATTTGGTATTTTATTTATATCTGCAAAATCATTTCACACAGTTTAATAAAATAATCTTGGGGAAAGGGGCCATCTTTAGAATTCTACCTAGCACAGCTGGGCACGGTGGCTCACGCCTGTAATCCCAGCACTTTGGGAGGCCGAGGCAAGTGGATCACGAGGTCAAGAGATTGAGACCAACCTGGTCAACATGGTGAAACCCCATCTCTACTAAAAATACAAAAATCAACCGGGCATGGTGGTGTGTGCCTATAATCCCAGCTACTCAGGAGGCTGAGGCAGGAGAATTGCTTGAACCCAGGAGGCAGAGGTTGCAGTGAGCCGAGATCGCACCACTGCACTCCAGCCTGGGTAACAAGAGTGAAACTCCATCTTAAAAAAAAAAAAAAGAATTCTACCTAGTACAACACAAGACTTCATATTTGAAGTTGTCACAATGTTTCTTCATTGACTCATTAATTAATTACAAGCATGTTTTCAGTTTCCAGTTTCTTTTGGGCTTTATTTTAGTTGTTGATTTATAAATTTACTGCCGTGTGATCTGTATGTATTTGTTGAACGCCACTTTCTAGTTTTGTATGTGGTCAACTTTCATAGGTAACTCATTTGTAAGTGAAAAGAATATGTGTCCTCTCATTGTTAAGTGAAGAGTTCTACACTGGTATTTGAACTCAAACCTGTTAAATGGATTATACATCTGTATATATATCCTTTTTTTTTTCTATTTGATCTATCAATTTCTAAGAGAATTATGTTATGGTCTTCCATACTGACCCTTTTAAAGATGAGGAAATTGAGGCCCAATAAAGTTAGGTGACTTGCCTCAGATCCTAGAGCTAATTAGGGGAGAGCTGGGATAAGAACTCAGGTATTTTCTTTTTATTTATTTATTTATTTATTTATTTTTTTGAGACGAGGTCTCACTCTGTGACCCAGATTGGAGTGCAGTGGCACAATCTCAGTTTACCGCAACTTCTGCCAGCCAGGCTCAAGCGATCCTCCCACCTCAGCTCTCAAAAGTAGCAGGAACCAGAGGTGCTCCCCGCCCTGTCTGTCTAATTTTTTGTAGAGGTGGGGTTTTGCCATGTTCCCTAGGCTGGTCTCGAGCTCCTGAGCTCAAGAGATCTGCCCACCTCATCCTCTCAAAGTGCTGGGATTACAGGTGTGAGCAACTACACCCAGCCAGACCTTAGGTATTTTTTTTAATATTGATACTTGGGATATTTACACGAATAAGAAAATCCAGTAATTTTTGTTCCTTTCTCTTGTAATCATACTCCCTGCCAATTTGGTGTCATATTGGCCAGTAGAATATGAGGGCTGCTCTCATTAGTCCCAATTTGATCTTAGACTGATACAGAAGTTATTTAAGTCTATGGGAGAGTTATTTTTAATAGGTAAAGCACCTATCATGAACTCCCACAATACCCTCCACCCAATATCCCATCTAAATCAAGGAAAGCACCCTCAGCCAGCATGTCAATGGGAAGAAATGATTCAGAAATACTAGTAGAACATCTCCTTCATTAATCATTGACCTAGTTTATATTCTGATACAATATTGCTACCATTTCGAACTTCCTTTGCAGAGAAAACACACCTAAATATATTATTTTTAAGCATGTTTCAAGTAGAGCCTGCCCAAACTTGGCCCTTCCTTTTTCATCATGGAAGGGCCAAATGACCAAACCTACAGCTTATCAGATTTCAGCTACCATGCATCATTATTGGCCATCTGCTGCCCCTTGCTTACTTGACCCCTCACCTCTGTGCCCTAAAAGGGGATTGTGTAATGATAATAAACACTCACTTTCAGGCAGACCAGAGCCAGATATGCCCATACTTCAGCATTGTAGTTGTTCAATGCATTGGCTTCAGAGAGAGCATCCTCAGCCTCTGTGAGCTCGTCCAGCTTGACAGAAAAAGGAGACATATGAGTTAGTTTAGCTGAAACCACTATGCCCGAATAATACTGGTGTACATGACCTATACCAATGGTTTTCAAATTTTTAATATTTTTAGCATCAGAACTCTTTTCTTCAAATGCAATCTTATGTGGTGGTTCAATATATGAACCAATTAAAAGTAGAACTGCTCTGATTAAAGAGCCAGGTTGGGGATTCTGGAGCCCTGCCTAGTAGTATCCTTTTCTTCCTTTCCTCTACAGCAGTCCCATCAGGACATCTATAAACCATGGAGCTTCAGGTGCAAGGTTGGAAATTCACAAGAATTCACTCTCATGTGTGCATCATTCAGTGATGCCTCCATACACAGTGGGCTGCAACATACATTTATAGTTTTTTTCTTTACATTGTGCATCCTTTTGTTGAGGTAAAAGTCTTATTTGCCTGTTGAAATACTATTGTCCAGAGAGCTTTTTTCCCCCTAATATCAGTTATTAACAGCTCAATCCTGAGCAATCAATGTAATATTCAGAGACTTTAGGGTGCTCTCAAAGCTCTGGGCACATGGAAATCGTTATTGCTTCTTAAAACTGTGAGATTGCATTGTAAGATTTTCCAAAAGGCTCTCCCTTCCCCAGTAGAGTACCTCTTCTCTCTCTCTCTCTCTTTTTTTTTTTTTTTTTTTTAGACAATGTCTCGCTATGTTGCCCAGGCTGGAATGCAGTGGCACCATCTTGGCTCATTGCAACCTCTGCCTCCCACGTTGATTCTTGTGCCTCAGCCTCCAAGTAGCTAGAATTACAGGTGCCCACCACCACACCTGGCTAATTTTTGTATTTTTAGTAGGGTTGGGGTTTCACCATATTGGCCAGACTGGTCTCAAACTCCTGGCCTCAAGCAATCTGCCTGCCTCAGCCTCCCAAAGTGCTGGGATTACAGGCATGAGCCACTGTGCCCAGCCCACTTTTTCTGTTTTAAAAAAATAATGAGTTTCTAAGGCCCAAGACAAGGTGGAGAATGGCCTTTCACCCATGCCCATACTTTGGCCCCACTTTAAAGTCTCTGAGACATTAATTCACTATTTAATCAAGCTACATTTGCTGAGGATTTGTTCTGTGTCAGGCAGTATGGTAGATGGTGGCAGTAAAAAAATAAAATCTTATAGTCTCAGCTACTCAGGAGGCTGAGGCAGGAGAATCAACCCAGGCTGGGAGGCAGGGATTGAAATGAGCCAAGATTGAGCCACTGCACACCAGCCTGGGTGACAGAGCAAGATTCTCTCAAATAAAGACATACATACATGCATACATACATACATACATACATACATACATAAAATAACAATCCTTGCCTTTGAAGAGCTCATTGACAGATGTGTGGAAAAAAAAAAACACAGGCCAGGTGTGGTAGCTCATGCCTGTAATCCCAGCACTTTGGGAGGCCAAGGTGGGCAGATCACCTGAGCTCAGGAGATCAAGACCAACCTGGCCAACATGGTGAAACCCTGTCTCTACTAAAAATACAAAAATTAGCTAGTCATGGTGATGCACACCTGTAATTCCAGTTACTCAGGAGGCTTGAGGCAGGAGAATCGCTTGAACCCAGGAGGCAGAGATTGCAGTGAGCCGAGACTACATCACTGCACTGCAGCCGGGGTGACAGAGTGAGACTCTGTCTCAAAAAACAAACAAATAAACAACAACAACAACAAAAAAAAAAAAAGAGGAAAATCAAACACATAAATTGTTCTGTTATAGAATAAATATTTCGTGGTGGCTCATGCCTATAATACTAGCACTTAATAAGGCCTAGGATAGCTTTTTGGTTTCTGAGTTGGTTGATTTGTTCATCATAGTCCCATTCACTAAGATAGGAAATACAGGAGAAGGTACTGGCTTAAGGAATGTAAGTACTTCAGGGATAAGGTAGGGTGTATTTTGAATATGTGCATTTTGAAGTATCTGGAGAACCATCCACAGAGCTGTTAATTGCGGGATTTGATATAAGTGTCAGCCAGAGCTTGAAAAGTGTTATAAACTCAAGATTTAGAATTCATCCAGGCACAGTGACAGTTAAGACTACCGGATAGATGACATATCTTAGAGAGAACTAATAAAGTGACAAGAGAAAAGTACTGACTACAGAAACCAAGAGAAACCAACAACTAAGGTGAGGAAAAGATGAGAAGCCAGTAAAAAGTCTAAAAAGGTGGCCGGGCGCAGTGGCTCAAGCCTGTAATCCCAGCACTTTGGGAGGCCGAGGCGGGCGGATCACAAGGTCAAGAGATCAAGACCATCCTGGTCAACATGGTGAAACCCCATCTCTACTAAAAATACAAAAAATTAGATGGGCATGGTGGTGCGTGCCTATAATCTCAGCTACTCAGGTGGCTGAGGCAGGAGAATTGCCTGGACCCAGGAGGCAGAGGTTGCGGTGAGCCGAGATCGCACCATTGCACTCCAGCCTGGGTAACAAGAGCGAAACTCCGTCTCAAAAAAAAAAAAAAAAAAAAAAAATTCTAAAAAGGTGCCAGAGAGGCAGGTGCAGAACTCAAAGGATGTGAATGCAGTAATATTGAAGCCAAGGGAAGAAAGAGCTTCAAGAAGGAAGTGGTCAATAAGGTTAAGTGCCACAGAGACTTCATCTAAGTGTCCACTGCACTTCGCCATTAGGATGCCATATGGAACTTTTGTTAGAGAAGTTTCAGCAGAGTGGCAAGGGTATGTGTCTAATTGCAATAAAATAAAGGGCAAATAGGACAGAAAAATGAACAAACAATTTACAAGAAACATTATTTCAACCTTAGTAACAAAAATGCAAATTAAGATACATATCAAATTGGCAAATCATAATGCCCATTGTTAATGAGGTAACAATAAAATGGACTCTCACACTGACAGTATAAATCAGTATATAGACTTTCCAGAAGGCAAATTAATACTATAAAGACTAAAAATATTTCTATAATCTCTTAGAATGTATTCTAAGGAAATAATCAGAGTTAAATACAATGATTTATGTCTAAGAATGTTTATCTCAGCTTTATTTAGTTAGTTTTTATTTTTTAGAGACAAAGATTGTATTAGTCTGTTTTCACACTGCTGATAAATACATACCCAAGACTGGAAGAAAAAGAGGTTTAATTGGACTTACAGTTCCACATGGCTGGGGAAGCCTCAGATTCAGGGTGGGAGGCAAAAGGCACTTCTGGCCAAGGCAAGAGAGAATGAGGAAGAGGCAAAAACGGAAACCCCTGATAAACCCAACAGATCTCGTGAGACTTATTCACTATCACAAGAATAGCACAGGAAAGACTAGCCCCCATTATTAAATTACCTCCACCTGGGTCCCTCCCACAACATGTGGGAATTCTGGGAAATATAATTCAAGTTGAGATTTTGGTGAGGACATAGCCAAACCGTAACAAGGTCTCACTCCATTGCTCAGGCTGGAATACAGTGGCATGATCATGGCTCACTGCAGCCTCCACCTCCTCAGGCTCCGGTGATCCTCTCACTTCAGCCTCCCCTGTAGCTGGGACCACAGCACATGCCACCACACCCAGCTAATTTTGTAATTTTTTTTGGAGAGACATGGTTTTGTCACATTGCCCAGGCTGCTCTTGAACTACAGGCTCAAGCAATTTGTCCGCCTTGGCTTCCCAAAGTGCTGGGATTACAAGTATGAGCCACCATGCTGAGCCTATCTCAGCTTTATTTATAATAGCTAACAACATGTCCAATATGTCCAAGAATTGGTCTTATACCATACGTAGGTATGGTATGACTAAAACACTGATGGGAGAGGGTAAAGATTACTGGACAACCTAGTGGTAGTACTTAGCTAAATTATTTTTTTTTTGTTTCTATCTCAATGAATTTTTTTTTTTTTTTTTTTTTTTACAATTCTCAAACAAATAGAAGCAGGACTTATACCAAATGGTTTGTATAGCTGGTTCTTGTACTTTTCACAATGCTGTCAGGTTTCTAACAACTATAGATGTTTAACATCCTTTCTGGGAAGGTAGAACAGGGGGCACATAGCTTATGTATAAATGACCTTATGTCCTGGTTGGTCTTGTATAATTTTAACAACATCTTTTTCATTCTCAGAAGGGTGCTGGTTTGTATGATAAATTAAATGATCATCCTATTTATTTATCCATATATCAAAGAACACCATGCAGTCATTCAATTCATGTTTTATACTATTTGGTGCTGTAAGAAGATACCAATACTATATTGTTAAGTAGAAAAAAGATTATAAAGCAGTAAATATTTATAGTTTTTACATTAAAATTGCTTTCATATATATGAAAAAAATGGGAGGAAAATACATTAAAATGTTAACAGTGGTTATCACCAACTTGTGGAGTTATGGATACTTTAATGTTTTCTTCATATTTTGTATCTGTCTATTTTTAGAGATGAAGTCTTGCTCTGTCCCCCAGGCTGGAGTGCAGTTGTGCAACTGTGGGTCACTGCAGCCTCTAACTTCTGTGTTCCCACCAAACAATCCTCCCATCTCAGTCTCCCAAGTATCTGGGACTACAAGCACATGCCACCATGCCTGGTTAATTTTTAATGTTTTTGTAGAGATGGGGGTCTTGCTCTGTTGCCCAGGTTGGTTTCTCTCAAACTCCTGGGCTCAAGAGATCCTTCTACCTCAGCTTCCCAAAGTGCTGGAATTACAGGTGTGAGCCACTGCTTCTGGCTTCTTCTAAATTTTCTATAGTGAACATATATTATCTTTATGGTTGAAAAAAAGCAATGAGGGGCTAAGCACAGTAGCTCACGCCTATAATCCCTGCACTTTGGGAGGCTGAGGCAGGCAGATCACTTGAGGTCAGGAGTTCAAAACCAGGCTGGCTGACATGGTGAAACCCCATCTCTACTAAAAATACAAAAATTAGCCTGGCATAGTGGTGGGCACCTGTAATCCCAGCTACTCAGGAGGCTGAGGCAGAGGATCACTTGAACCCAGGAAGCAGAGGTTGCAGAGTGCTTAGGTGGCAACACTGCAGCACTGCACTCTAGCCTGGGAGACAGAGTGAGACTCTATCTCAAAAAAAAAAAAAAAAAAAGTAAAAAATGAGTGAGTAGATATTTAAAGAAAAGGAGAGGTATGGAATCAATAATATACCTGAAGAAATCAGGCAGGAACACAAGGATGTATGCCTCTTTGAAGACTTGAGGAAAGGAGGGAAGGTTAAGTAAAGAGTTTTTAGGGGAAGCAGAGCAAAAGTTTCTACCAGAAGCTACAGCAACTTCTCCTGCATATCGAAGGGTCACAGTGATTAATAAGCGTCAATCAATTTCTTCAACTGACTTTAATAGATTCTCATCTCCCATATGGCCTTTTTCTTAAAGATAATGTCACAAAAGAGTGTCTATACCAAATACCATAAATTGTTTTTGGAAACTATAACTATAAATTGTTATAGTTTCTTGGTTCAGGTTTTTGTGGGATTTTTCAAAGATCTTCTACTTTTCCAGCTAGTTGTGAACTTCATTCAGTTCACTGAACACCTTTGAAGAACAACTTTTCATTAGAGCAGACTGCCCTGATTGTTATTCCAGCATCATCACAAACCCCCAGGATGCCTGGAAGGCCAAAGAATCAAGGCCAGCTGTATGCACGGGCCTACTCTCAAGCCTTCATCCTCTTACCCGATAGCAGGCGATTCCCAGTCCTAGCCAGGTAAGGCATGAAGGTGATCTCTTACAGGCTTGCATGTAGGTTTTCTTTGCCTTTTCATACTGCAGAAAGAAAGCACCACAAAGCTACTGTTCTAGAGGCTTCAAACCCCGTATTGCTGGGATGATCATGGGATCTCTGATAGTTGTGCTCCAGAACAATCTAAGTTAAGCAAGTCCTTTAATTGTACTTTTACATCTACCTTAAGGGAGCTATCGCAAGAAGATTGGTAAGAGGAGATGGATAGATCACATGAAGGGCACACTTTCACTTGGAAGTAGTTCCAAAGACATTTATAGTCTCTGTAAGAGTTGAGACAAGGAGTTACACCAGAAGTTCTGGGTGACTATAATGATTATCTGAATTCTACGTAGACTTCATGGATTACCTTCTTTCACTTTAATGTAACATAAAGTGGTGGCATGACAGACATACAATCTCTGGACTAAACGGTATACTTGATACAGCCTCACTATTCTGGAAATCTATTCCCTTTGTTGTAATAGGTCTTAGGATTTTAGAAAAACTCAAAAAACAAACTTCCAAAAGACATAGCGCTGAAGGGACGATTTCTTGTCCTTTATCTCCAACACAAGATGCATCTATAGCAGAGCCTCAGCAAACACCCTAAGAACTGCTTGCCCAGGGACTGCCTAAGTCAGCAGCACTCTGAAGATGCAGGTTTCAGTGACATCAGAAAGAAAATTTTTCCTTATATATTTCACTACAGTAGGACAGGGATTTCTCTCAAGCCTATGTAAGCCTTCCTGAGTGGCGCCACCTCAGCTTACTGCAATGCCACTTACATTATATGGCATTGCAATTTTTTGTTGCTGTTGTTTTATATTAAATGAAAAGACAACTGGGTGTTCTGAGGGGAAAAAACAGAATAAAGTCAAAACAAAAGCAAGTGAGTCAAAAGGCTTTTGGCAGAATGTTGGTAATTGTTAAAATGAGAGGATGGACCCATAGTGGTTCATTTTACTATTCTGTTTGCTTTGCATGTATTGAAATTTCCGTAAGAGAAAGGTTTGTTTGTTTTTTCAAAGAACTCAGAATATTTCCCAAAATATGGGGAGGGACTGCTTCTATGGTCAAGTCAGAGTGCACTATGGAATAGGGTTAGCCTCAGTTAGATTAAATATAACCCTTTGTGTTTAAGAGAAAGTTTGGAAAGAAGTCATTTTGAAGCCCATGACACTTTCTTTTAGGTAAGTCAAGCTAAGAATGTTTCTACTGCTGCTAATACAATTTTAGCTAACATAACATTACTGAGTTCTTAAGAACTATTTAGTAGCATAATGGGTAACACCACAGACTCTCATTTCAGCCTGCCTGCGTTTGAATGCTGCTTCCACTAATTACTGGTTGTCTGATGTTGGGCAAGTCACTTTACCTTTGGATGTAAAAGTGTCATTATTATACTACAATTTTTAGTCCACACAGATGGGTGTTAATGCTCGAATTACAATCAGTTCCCAGACCATGGGGTTATTCCCTCTCTACCCCTCACCTCTTTCTCTTCCAGATAGATGAGTCCCAGTCGCAGAAAGATGAAGTGCATTTCAGAAGCATCCACTACAAAGCTAATGGTTCGTTCATAGCATGCCTTGGCCTCAGCATGATTTCCACTCAGAAAATAGAGATGGCCCTTCAGGCCCCAGACATTGGGGCTCTGGGAAAGTAAAAAACAAGTAGTACATGGGATAAAGTAGTATTTAAAAGTAACTTGATGACCTTTGTTTAACCATATTATTTAAATATAGACAGATTAAGTCTATTTTCTTTTTGAGATCAACTGTCTTCTTTTTCTAAGAGCACTCAGAAATATAACCAATTAATTGTACTCAGAGAGATTTTTCTAGGTCTGCCCTCAGATTTCTTTCTTGCATGCTTCAAAGCCATTTTGGGTGTGGAGTAAATATTAAGAAAAACATTCAAGCATAACCCCCATACTATTCACATGAGAAAACAGAAGAAACCTAGAAAAATTGAAATAAACACTATCAGCTAAAGATACCCTTTTCTCTGCCCTTTGCAAAACTCACGGATTACTTAAGAAAAGCAAATGGAAGGATATAGAAAGATTAGTTTACTGACAGCTGATGACCACCACTTCTGTTCACCAGGAATCTATGTGCGATGTGGCATCACCACCTTTAATAAAGCTCCTTCTCCAGACTCAAGAGGCTTCAGCAAAAGTCATTACCAGGTAGTCCATCTGGGCCGCTTGTTGGAGGTATTCCTCTGCCTTGGCAAAGTCCTTCTTAAGAATGTGTGTCTGGGCCAGCACCAAGTAGTACTCACAGCTGGGACCTCCTTGAGGGCATAACAGCTCATGTGCAAGCACTCTGTGCACAAACTGCAAGGACAATTAGATTATAAGGAACATATAAATGGCTGCATTGTGTCTTTTGCAGTTGAAGGATTCTGTCTCTGATAATAAATAATAAGAAATGTATTATAGAATGAAATAATTATCCTCAACTTCAAAAAGTAAAGGATGAATTACAAACATTCAGCACTTCATAGTTCCATTACCAGCTATTCACTTAGTCACCAAATGAAGATATTTCCAAGTGAATAAATGCAATATTGTACAATTCTGTTCTTGCTGGTCATCATACTAGGTGAGTGTTAGAAAATAGAGCAGACAAAGGTGCATCATCAACCACCCCATTTACATAGAAGGCAACATTTTCAGGCAGCTGACATTTTAAGGAAATTTACAGTGAGGCAAAACTGCCTAACAATCTAGACTTGAAATCTTAGAAACATAAATTTCTGTTTTGGATGTACCTCTAAACACTGGTTATATTTACCAGTTTTGTACTTCGGGCCAATTTTTGTAATTTTGTACTTTTTATTTTTTTAGAGACAGGGTCTTGCTTTGTCACCTAGGGCTGGAGTACAGTGGTGTGATCATAGCTTACTGCAGCCTCCTGGCCTCAAGCAATCCTCCTGCCTTGCCCACCCCCCCAGAAGTGCTGGGATTATAAGCGTTAGCCACCTTGCCTGGCCAAATCTTTGCTTTTTATACTTTATAAGACCTACAAATTTAATAAAGTTACATATACTTGCTAAGTCAAAGGTAAATCCTCCTTTTCTTCTCCCACTGTTCCTATCTTTGCCTATGATGTAGAAAATTCTACATTATACTTACACATTTTTAAAAGAATACTAGAGGGAATAGCTGCAGCTATTTTTTCTACCTGCCTTCTGAGTCTCTGACCTTGAGGGACTAATGACTTACTTAGCTGTGGGACAAGGGAGCCTGTGTTTATTTTGAGGAGGGTTAATGTGTTAAAGGCTCCTGCTTGGTCGTGCGCGCCCTGGTAGCCGACGCGGTAGTTGGTACGCGTGCCCTGGTCCCACTGCACGACCACCGTGCGGTCGGGTGTGGAGGGGCTGCCGTGCCGGCCGAGCTCCACCACCATGCCCACGCCGCCCTCGCCGCCGTCCTGCTGGCCCCACTTCCAGTCCACGCCGCGCACCACGCGCATGCCGACCTGCACGCCCGCCTGGGGGTCTGGGTCCATGGTGGGCGGGGCTGCTCGAGACCTGTGGGCAGAGGGCACTCTCAGGCCTCCACCACCACAGGGCACTCTCCCGGTAACAGCATGCTGCGCAGGAGAGTGGAGAAGAGGCCCCAGGGGGCAGGCAGACTGCTGCAAGCCCTAGGGCACAGGAAGACGGCGAGGAGGCCATGGGGAAGGTGGGCACTGTGCCAACCTGGCACAGGACCCGCAGGGCAGTCTGGCCCCAGGGGATCAGGGAGCCCGACCCTGGGGCTCCCCTGAATGTCTGCTCTGGTTGGCACTCAGTGGCCGTCAATAGGTATTTGTGTAAAATATTATGGATTTGGATTGTACACACCAGATACACAAATAAAGCTTTCGGAAGAAAACCACAAAAAAAAAAAAAAAAGGCTCCTGCTTAATGTGGCTCAATCCCACCCAGTTTATAATTCTTGCCCTTTCTTGACCTTGCCTGCCCTAAAGTGGGGCATGCACTTGGCAGGATCAAAACCAAACACTCTTGGCTCCTGAATCTTGCTCTCTCTCCTACTCCTTGCTCATGGGTTTGCTTCTTGCTTCCCAAGTGGTAGGCAGACCTATTAGGATGCTCTGCTTCTCTGAGAGGAGGCTTCAGTTCTTTAGCTGCTCTACCTGTGACTTCATGGGTAAGTCAAATATGGGGCCAGTTATGTTCTCCAGCCCAGTTTTACCAATAAAAATAGGCTAATATTTTTATTCTCCCATATAGTACTGTGTATGTTTCCAACTGGATCAGAACCTAGAGGGGAAGAGGGGAATGATTTGGCTTCTGTGAACCCCCAACACTCATATAATGAATCCCCATAATAAAGTAATATCAGGCAACATATGCCTTAGAGTCTGATTTAGGTCTGTTGGTATTCTACAGGGAGCAGACCTGGAGTGAGATCTTCTGCTGCCTTGTGCAAAGAGTGGTTAATGTTTGGATGTTCTTCCCATTGGGCTTAAGGTATGCTCTCAAAACCATATTTGATTTCTGCTCCACAAATATCTAAGCTTGAAAGATACCATTAAGGATAGAATAAGGAGTTCGCTAAAATCTTTCCATCTACTTGCCCTGTTCCAAACATTCTCACCTGCACGGCCTTGACATTCATCAAGAAATGTATGGTCTCCATGAAGATGGTGGTAGTTTGAGAAACACCATAATGAAGGCCAGGATGCAGAAGAGCTGATGAATCTTTGCATTTTGATACTTCTGAAAATATTACATTAAAAGGATAGAAGATTGAATGTAACAGAAAAAGTGTCAGAAATGCAGACACACTCACATAACAGGGAGAGTTTTCTCATCTAATACATGAGAGAGATCATAATCTGGAAAGCAATTGACTGCTCTCCAGCAATGGTCCCGAAAAAGGAGAACACAAAGGTTCTCAAGGTGAATCTACTTGTGGTTCCAAATATAAGTACAACCAAATGAAAAGGTTTTTTTTGTTTGTTTGTTTGTTTTTTTGAGACGGAGTTTCGCTCTTGTTACCCAGGCTGGAGTGCAATGGCACGATCTCGGCTCACGGCAACCTCCGCCTCCTGGGTTCAAGCAATTCTCCTGCCTCAGCCTCCCTAGTAGCTGGGACTACAGGCATGCGCTACCATGCCCAGCTAATTTTTTTGTATTTTTAGTAGAGACGGGGTTTCACCATGTTGACCAGGATGGTCTCGATCTCTTGACCTCGTGATCCACCCACCTCGGCCTCCCAAAGTGCTGGGATTACAGGCGTGAGCCACCACGCCTGGCCTGAAAAGGTTTTAAAAAGTATTCAGATCTTCTTGAATGTGAAACACAATTTGTAGATTTTTTTTAAAAAATGAAGACCTGTTAGGAAATCATTGGTCTGTAGTTGGCTACTTTTGTGAGCTAAATATAAAATCTTTGCTTATTGAAAAAGTTTGGATTTCAGAGTCTAGTTAATATTAAATAATTTAGGCAACGAATCAACTTTAAACAAGTCAGGATTGCCATTTTATAATTGCAAGAGTCTTCATCCTTGTCTAGCTTTTGCCCCTCTTCCAAGTGGAAATCATTATTTCTAGTTACCTTTCTTTGCTGGTACCTCCTTGATAAATGTGTTAGATAAATTTTGGTTTATACTTGGATCCCAAGTTTGTGTAGGCAAAATGGGTTCTCGTGAATCAGACTGCAGTTTGGAGGATTCTTCAAGAAATTTGTCTAGAACAGATAATGTAGCTCCTGGTCCTAAACAGATTAAATTTTAATGAAAAATAAAACTTCTTACATTGGGAATTTAAAGGTTATTATAAGAGATACATTTTGCAAAGCATAAGAAACATATTCCCTAAATATTTCATGAAGGATAGACTTGTTTGATAGACTTGTTTACATTTTTGAATAAAGAGCACAAACTAAACTGACAAAACAGTCTCTGTCACTGTGACCCCCCCAATACAATCTTGCTGCTACTCCAAGCCATGATAATATCAAGCAGATCCCTATTTTATTTGCTAAATTCAGAATCTGAAGAATCCAGATGAGAAAACTAAAACATTTTTAGATAATGTTAAAGCCCTTAAGAGACAGGAATTCTATTCATCTTGTCTCAGTGTTCAATAATAATCATCATATAATTAATTATGTAATAGCTGTATTTATTTTACTTTTATTATTTTTGATACAGAACCTCACTCTGTCACCCAGGCTGGAGCCCAGTGGTGTGATCTCAGCTCACTGCAACCTCTGTCTCCTGAGTTTAAGGGATTCTCCTGCCTCAGCCTCCTGAGTAGCTGGAATTACAGGTGCCTGCCACCACATCCAGCTAGTTTTTGTATTTTCAGTAGAGACGGGGTTTCACCATGTTGGCCAGGCTGATCTCCAACTCCTGACCTCAGGCGATCCACCTGCCTTGGCCTCCCAAAGTGTTGAGATTACAGACATGAGCCACCACACCCAGCCAGTAGCTATATTTAAACATGTCCATATGCCATGTATTGCACTAAAGACTTTAATGCATATCATTTATTTTTTACAACACTATCAGATATTATTTTTATTATGCTCCTTTTAAAAACGTGAACCAAACAGTTGTTAAATAATCTGCTGATGCTCTCAAACATGCCATGCTGCTTATCAAATGAATGTTTGATGAATAAAAATAAAAACAATGCTAGGCAGGAAATTAGTGCTAGGTGGCCCCAAATCAAAAGAGGTCACTTCCAGCTAGGGCAAAAATGTAGCTTTGAAAAATAGGTAGAAAATGGATAGCAGCCGGGCGCGGTGGCTCAAGCCTGTAATCCCAGCACTTTGGGAGGCCGAGGCGGGTGGATCACGAGGTCGAGAGATCGAGACCATCCTGGTCAACATGGTGAAACCCCGTCTCTACTAAAAGTGCAAAAAATTAGCTGGGCATGGTGGCACGTGCCTGTAATCCCAGCTACTCAGGAGGCTGAGGCAGGAGAATTGCCTGAGCCCAGGAGGCGGAGGTTGCGGTGAGCCGAGATCGCGCCATTGCACTCCAGCCTAGGTAACAAGGGCGAAACTCCGTCTCAAAAAAAAAAAAAAAGAAAAAAAAAAAAAAAAAAGAAAATGGATAGCAAAGAGGGAGGGGCATTCAGGGCTGGAAGCATGCCACTGGCGAGAGCATTAGAAGTAGTGAGCTAATTATTTTAATGGGTCCTGAGGATTTCATAGGGAAAATTAAGGAAAAGATAGGTTGGGCTCGATTGTATTGATAATTGAATGGGATATTTCTCCTCTAGGCAAGAGGAGAACAGGGGAGATCCACTGAATAGTTTTGGGCAAAAAAAGTAGAGAATGAAAGTGACACTTTATGAAGACTACTCTAGCAGTGCTATGTGCAAGGAGAAAAAATTGTGGATGAAGGCAAAGAGACCTGTTATTGTTATAATAGTCTGGATATTCGGTAATGGGGAGTAGTGAAAATCTAAAGGGAAGATACAGGGAACATTTTTGAAGAGAACCAACTGGTCTTAGGAATTCACCTGAGGGATATGAGGGAAAGTTCAATAAAGAAAGAAGGAGCCATCTTTTTCTGCATGGGTGGAAAAAAAAAGGAAGGAAGAGGGAGCAGGGATAACTTTGAGATCATAAGCTTGGGTGCCTAATATAAAGATGTAGAAGCAATCTGGGAGCTGAAGTTGAGTTTACAAGTGAAAAAATCCAACTACTGTATTGTATAGGGATGTTGGTCAAAGAGCTAAATTTGAGAGTTATGAGCAGTAAAATGAAAACTAGAAGGGTAGGTAAATTCTTAGATAGTAAGATTGGATTATTGGAAATGATTATATCTAATGAGTGTGACCAGAAAGAAAAGCTAACAAAAGAAACCAAAGCTGCTGGAGATGAGGAAGTAATCCAACATGACTTCAGGAAGGAGAAAGTTGTTAACAACTGCAGAATGATCCTTGAGGAGTAACAACAGAAAAAATGGTTAACAATAGACTTTTCTGATATATATGTATTTGTATATATAGGTATATGTGTGTGTGTGTGTATATACATATATGAATTTTGACACAAAACCTAGGCTGGCTAGGCTGGGATGCAGTGGCATGATCATAGCTTGCTGTGGCTCAAAGGAGCCTCCCTCCTCAACTTCCCAAATAGGTGGGACTATAGGTGTGCACTACCATGCCTGGCTAATTTAAAAAATTTTTTGTAGAGATGGGTCTCACTATGTTGCCCAGGTTAGTCTCCAACTCCTAGCCTCAAGCAATCCTTCTACCTTTGCCTCCCAAAGTGCTGGAATGACAAGCATGAGCCACTGTGCCGGCCTGAGGTATAATTTACACAAAATAAAGTATCACCCTTCAAGTATATGTTCAGTGTGTTTTAAATGTATACACTTGTATAATCACTATTATAACCAAGATATAAAGCATTACTGATATTCCAAAAAGCTCCCTCATGCTCTTCCAATTCCCAGGCCAAGGCAACCACCAATCTGCTTTCTGTCAATATAGGTTCATTTTCCTCTTTCTAGAATTTAATTTCAATGGAATCATACAGTATGCACTCTTTTGCAGCTGGTTTATTTACCTAGCATACTGTTTTTGAGATTCATCCATGTTGTACTTATCAGTAATTTGTTCCTTTTAATTGCTGAATATTTTTTATTGTGTGGATATATGAAAATTAATCATTCATCTATCAATAGGCAGTTGGGTTGTTTCCAGTCCCTATTAAAAAAATAAATCATTTTATTTAAACATTTGCATACAAATCTTTGCAAGGATATGTTTGTTTCTGTTGGGTTAAGATCTAGGAGTGAAACTGCTGGCATGTGTATGTATGTTTAACCTTATTTCGAAAATTGGCAGTTTTGTGCTCACTTCAGTAGCACATATATTAAATTTGAAACAGCACGGAGATTAGCATGGCCCCTGAACAAAGATGACTTACAGATTCCTGAAGCATTCCACATTTTAAATGCATGTAACAAAGTATCATTCCATAAATATGTACAATTATTATGTATTAATAAAACAAGAGGTTGGGTGAGGTGGCTCACATGGGTGATCCCAGCACTTTGGGAGGTCAAGGCAAGAGGATTGCTTGAGCTCAGGAGTTCAAGACATGCCTGGGCAACATAGTGAGACCTTATCTCTACTGAAACAAAAATTAGCCAGACATGGTGGTATATATGTGTAGGCCCAGCTACTCTTGAAGGATTGAGGTGGGAGCATTGCTTGAGCCTCAGAGGTAGAAGTTACAATGAGCCATGACTTCCCCACAGCACTCTGGCCTGGGTAACACGGTGAGACCCTTTCTTAGTAAAAGAGAAAAGAAAAGAAAAAGAACCTTTAAAAATTGCCATTTATTGGAAGGCTATGTAAGTATATGAAGAAAAAGAAAAAAATTACCAGTTTTCTCAAGTGGTTGCACCATTTTGCATTCTCACTAGCAATGTCTGAGAGTTCCAGTTTCTCCACCTCCTTATAAGTTTATATTCTCAATCTTTTTAATTATCAATCTTTTTAATTTTAGCTATTCCAGTGGTAAATTTCATTGATTTTCAAATGTGAAATTAATTTTACAACGCTCCTTAGTTATATTTTCTATATGTTGCTAAAATTGACTGGCTAATATTTGTTAAGAATTATTGTGTCTAACCAGGTATGGTGGCTCATGCCTATAATCCCAGCTACTTGGGAAGCTGAGGTGGGAGGATTGTTTGAGGCTAGGAGTTTTAGACCAGCCTGGGCAACATAATAAAATGTTGTCTCTTAAAAAAAAAAAATAATAATAATAAAAATAAAATAAGGCTGGACGCGGTGGCTCATGCCTATAATCCCAGCACTTTGGGAGGTCAAGGTGGGTGGATCACGAGGTCAAGAGATCAAGACCATCCTGGTCAACATGATGAAACCCCATCTCTACTAAAAATACAAAAATTGGCTGGGCATGGTGGTACCCGCCTGTAGTCCCAGCTACTTGGGAGGCTAAAGCAGGAGAATCGCTTGAACGCAGGAGGCGGAGGTTGTGGTGAGCCAAGATAGTGCCATTGCACTCCAGTCTGGGTACCAACAGCGAAACTCCGTCTCAAAAATAATAATAATAATAATAATAATAATAATAATAATAATAATAAAGAAAGAAGTATTGTGGCCCATCCACCATGTTTTCAGGCCGAATCTGGCTTGGTGTTCCCTCTTAAGGAAATGGCCGGGGAGCTCCACGGCACCCAGGCGCCGTTGCTTCGGCAGAGCCTGGGCTGACCAGCCAGGACAGTGGGATAAACTCGATCTGCACGAGGTATTTGTACTGCTATTTATTTTTGTGAAGAGGCAAATCATGCACTTTGCAATGAAATCTCGAAAGGGACCTCATGTCCCTGTGGGACACAATGCCCCCAAGGACTTGAAAGAGGAGATTGATATTTGACTATCCAGGGTTCCTTGCAGGTGATGATGCTAGACTACTACAGCTGGAAACCCAGGGAAATCAAAGTTGCTACAACTATCTGTATAGGATGAAAGCTCTGGATGCCATTCGTGCCTCTGAGATCCCATTTCATTCTGAAGGCCGGCATCCCCGTTCCTTAATGGGCAAGAATTTCCACTCCTACCTGCTAGATCTACGAAACACTAGTACCCCTTTCAAGCGTGTACGTAAAGCCCTCATTGATACCCTGTTGGATGGCTATGAAGCAGCCCGCTATGGGACAGGGGTCTTTGGCCAGAATGAGTACCTACGCTATCAAGAGGCCCTGAGTAAGCTGGCCACCGTGTGAATTTGGAGGGGAACATGTCAAAGGGAGGCTGGTACAGTAGTGTTAAGACTGTTCCCACAGTGCAATGACCTTCATAAAGCAATATGAACAAAATCATGATACCATAAGAGTTGTCAGGTTCTAGACTATTAGATCAGTCTCCTACATTAGAAAGCAGATGCAACTGTACAAGAGAACTTTCTACTTTGTGTGTATTTTCCTTGTCTTTTGTTTGGCCCTATAAAATGTCAAAATTGGTGTAGCCTAGCAAAGGGAACAGTTTTTCAGCACACAGGGATTCCTTCTGTTTGGAGTCTCAGTGTCCTCCTCTTGTGTCTTGTTCCAGTAAAACTAAGAATTAAATGACAAAAAAAAAAAAAAAAAGAAGTATTGTGTCTAGGCTTATGAAAGTTATTTGCATGTACTCTTCTTTCTTTGGGATGGCTTTGTCTAGTTTTGATACCAGGGTGATTACTGTTCTCAAAGTATGAGTTTGGAACTATTATCTTTTTCTGTATTTTTTGAACATATGGTATGATTGGAATTATTTCTTCCTTAAATATTTAATAGAATATACCAGTAAAGCCTTTTGGGCCTGGAGTTTTCTTTGCGGGAGGTTTTTAATTACCCATTTAACCTTCTTAGGATATATAGACCTATTCAGATTGTTTCTTCCTGAGTAAGCCTTGTTAATTTATGTCTGTCAAGGTATTCATACATTTCATTTAATTTGTTAAATTTGTTGACATTAAATTGTTAAGAATTTCTCCTTATTTTATAATATTTAAAAGATTTTCAGTGATGTCCTCTCTTATTTGTGATATTGGCAGTGTGACTTCTCTTTTTTCCTGATCAGATTTAGCTGTTTCATTGATCTTCTGAAAAAACAGCTATTGGTCTTATTGACTGTCTCTATTTTTGTCTGTTTTCTAGTTCATTGATTTCTATTCTGAGCTATTGTTTCTTTCCTTTTATTTATTTTGGGTTTAATTTGATTTTCTTGTTCTAGCTTCTTAAGAAAGAATCTTAGGTCATAAATTTTAGACTTCTCTTATTATCCAACATAAGCTATAACTATAAACTTCTCTGGGAAACTAATTTAGCTAATCCTGCACATTTTGATTTGTTTTGCTACCATTATCATTAAGTTCAAATTATTTTCTAATTTCCTTTGTGATTTATTTTTTGACCTGTGGGTCGGTTATTTATTTGGATCTGTATCTATTTATTGAGATAGAGTCTCAATAAAGGTTTTGTTATATTGCCCAGTCTGGTCTCAAACTCCTAGCCTCAAGCAATCCTTCCACCTCAGCTTCCCAAGTAGCTGGGATTATAGGCATGAGCCACTATACCTGGTTAGACACAAAAATTCTTTTTTTTTTTTTTTTTTTGGACAGAGTCTCACTGTATCACCAGGCTAGAGTGCAATGGCGCGATCCCGGCTCACTGCAACTTCCGTTTTCCGGTTTCAAGCAATTCTCCTGCCTCAGCCTCCCAAGTAGCTGGGACTACAGGCACGTACCACCATGCCCAGCTAATTTTTTTGTATTTTTAGTAGAGATGGGGTTTCACTATTTTGGTCAGGATGGTCTGGATCTCTTGATCTCATGATCCACCCACCTCAGCCTCCCAAAGTGCTGGGATTACAGGTGTGATCCACTGCACCTGGCCGAGACACAGTAATTCTTTTTTTTTTTTTTTTTTTTTTTGAGATGGAGTTTCACTCTTGTTACCCAGGCTGGAGTGCAATGGCGCGATCTTGGCTCACCACAACCTCCGCCTCCTGGGTTCAGGCAATTCTCCTGCCTCAGCCTCCTGAGTAGCTGGGATTACAGGCACGCGCCACCATGCCCAGCTAATTTTTTTTGTATTTTTAGTAGAGACGGGGTTTCACCACATTGACCAGGATGGTCTCGATCTGTTGACCTCGTGATCCACCCGCCTCGGCCTCCCAAAGTGCTGGGATTACAGGTGTGAGCCACTGCACCTGGCCAATAATTCTTAACAAATATTAGCCAGTCAATATTTGTTGCCTAGGCTGAAGAGCAGTGGTGGAGTCATAGCTCACTGCAGCCTCCACCTCCCAGGCTCATGTGATCCTCCCACCTGAGCCTCCTTAGTAGCTGGGACTACAGGCATGCCACCACACCTGGCTTTTTTTTTTTTTTTTTTTTGTAGAGATGGAGTTTCACCATTTTGTGCAGGCTGGTCTTGAACTCCTGGCCTCAAGCGATCTACTTGCCTTGGTGGTCTGTGCGTTATTCAGAAGTATATTGTTTAATTTCCAAATACTTGAGGTTTTCCTATATGTCCAGTATTAGATGGTAAATGTTTAACTACTGAATGTCAGGGATGTGAATGGAGCCTGGTTTGCTGATTTCCATATGTAAATTCTCCTACCATAGCCAATTTCAAGCTACCAATATTACGTCATTGAACATAGAGTTGGGAAGAGATCTGCAATAGCATACCATTATACAGTATTTCCACATAGGAATACAATTAGAAAACATAAATAACCTTATCAGTGACTTCAGTAAAGTTTCAGGATACAGAAATCAATGTACAAAAATAAGTAGCATTTCTATACACTAATAATATTTAAGCTGAGAGTCAAATCAAAAACACAATCCCATTTACAATACACACACACACACACACACACACACACACACAAATACCTAGAATAACATCTAACCAAGGAGGTGTATTAGTTCTCCTAATACAAGAAAAACTATAAAACATTGCTAAGAGAAATCGCAAGTGTCACAAATAAGTGGAAAAATATTCCATATTCATGGGCCGGAAGAATTAATAGCATTAAAATAGCCATACTGCCCAAAGCAATCTACAGATTCAGCACTATTCCTGGCAAATTACCAATGTCATTTTTAGAGAAGTAAAAGAACAAAACAAAAAAACCTATTCTAAAATTCACATGGAACCAAAAAAGAGCCTGAATAGCCAAAGCAATCCCAAGCAAAAAGATCAAAGCTAGAGGCATCACATTACTTGACTTCAAACTATACTATAAGGCTACAGTAACCAAAACAACATAGTATCGGTACAAAAACAGACACTAGACCAATGGAACAGAATAGAGAACCCCAAAATAAAACTGCACACTTACACTCATCTGATCTTCAACAACAACAAGAATAACAACAAAAGAAAGGAGGAAAGGATGCCCTATTCAATAAATGGTGCCCTATTCAATAGCTGGCTACCCAGATGCAGAAGAATAAACCAGACCCCTAACTATATACATAAACTAACCCAAAATGGATTAAAGATTTAAATGTATGACCTCAAACTATAAGAATCCTAGAAGAAAACCTAGGAAACTCCATTTTTGACATCAGCCTTTGGGAAGAATTTATGAATAAGTCCTCAAAAGCAACTGGAGGCCAGGCCCTGTGGCTGACGCCTGTAATCCCAACTTTGGGGAGTTGAGGCAGGAAGCTCACTTGAGCCCAGAAGTTCAAGACTAGCCTGGACCACATAAGGAGACTCCATCTCTCCAAAAATAATGTTTTTAATTAGCCAAGCATGGACACCTGTGGTCCCAGCTACTTGGGAGGGTGAGGTGGGAGGACTGCTTGGGCCTGGGAGGTCAAGGCTGAAGTGAGCCATGATTGCACCACTGCAATCCCACCTGGACAATGAAGAGAGACCCTGTCTCAAAAAAAGAAAAAAAAAAATTCAAGTGGGATCTAATTAAACCAAAGAGCACCTACAGAGCAAAAGAACCTATCAACAGAGTGAACTGACAACCTACATCACGGGAAAAAATATTCACAGATTATGCATCTAACAAAGCTCTAATATCCAGAATCTACAAGAACGTAAACAATCAAGCAAGCAAAAAACAAATAACCCCATTAAAAATGGGCAAAAGACTATAGCATTATGTTAGGATTTAAGTTTGCCATTTTATTATTTGTTTTATATTTGTTCTCTCTCCTTCTTATTCTACTGTTTTCCTGTTTCTGCCCTCCTGTAATTATGTGAACATTTTTTAGCATCTCATTTTGACTTATCTGTAGTGTATTAGAGTATGTCTATTTGTGGTTTGTTTTTAGTGGTTCCTCAAAGACAGAGCTGCAAACTATATAGCCTATAGGCCATATCTGGCCTGCTACCTATATGTATTAAAAAAGTTGTTTGAGACACAGTCACATCCATTTTTAAATGTATTGTCTATGACTGCTTTCACATTACAGTAGCAGAGTTGATTACTTATGACAGAGACCAGATAACCCACTTTCAAATTATTGTTTTAAAAAATATTTTATACTTGTAATTTGTAAGAGGGTTTGCCACACCACTTCATGCTGCTTCCATTACTATAAATTGAACATTAGTCTTATAAATATTATTTCAGCTGATAGAATGGAAACTAAATTACAAGACGTAGATAAATTAGATACACAAGAAATTGAGGGAGTTCTGTGCGGTGCCAGCCCTTGCGCCATGGTCGCCAATGGAGAATAGCAGCCATGGCTCTTCGCTATCCTATGGCCGTGGGCCTCAAGAAGGGCCACAAGGTAACCAAGAACGTGAGCAAGCCCAGGCACAGCCGCTGCCCCGGGCCTCTGACCAAACACACTAAGTTCCTGCGGGACGTGATCTGGGAGGTGTGTGGCTTTGTCCCGCAGGAGCAGTGCGCGATGGAGTTACTGAGTATCCAAGGACAAACCGGTCCTCAACTTCATCAAGAAAAGGGTGGGGACACACATCCGCGCCAAGAGGAAGTGGGAGGAGCTGAGCAACATCCTGGCTGCCATGAGGAAAGCCGCTGCCAAGAAAGACTGAGCCCCCTCCCCTGCCCTCTCCCTGAAATAAACAGCTCGTTCCCCCACCCCAAAAAAAGAAAGACAGAAAAAAAAAAAAAGAAATTGAGACAAATTAAATGAAACATGTACATTGCTCCACTGGTGATATACAGAAGTAGAGAAATACAATATTAGGTTAAATTAAGGCAGCCAAGAGATTGTGCTATTCTTAATTACCAACAGAAG